GAACGCGCGCAGACAAGCAGATGCTCACCTCCCAGCAGGAACAGCCTCCTCCACGACAGACGCAGCCGTGCCGAACAGGCTCGACGGGCAGCCGACCGAGTCGCGCTTGGCCATGAGAGCCGCACGCGCCGCGCGGCCAGTGTACGCCCGGCGCGCAGGGTTGTCCCCGAAGCACTTCTTGAACAGGTCGAACGTCTTCGTGAACAGATCCACGCTTGTGCTCTTGTCGAAGAAGCTCAGCAGCGACGCGTCCGCGCCTGCAGTGACCGCCAGGCCCGTCGTGACGTCCACGCACCCACCGAACGACGCGCCGGCAGACTTGCCGTCCGTCCCGGTCGCAGCCTCAGCGACGGCGGAGAGTGAGAGGTCGACGCCGGCGCTCGCGTCGACGTCGAGGTTGATCGTCGCCTTCGCGGCCCCGGAGAGGACGTCCACCCCAAACGCGAGCGAGGGGATGAGGTGCGCCGCGACCTGGCCGTGCGAGGTGACGTTGGGAGAGACGGAGAGCTTGAGGTTCGAGTCTCCGGGCTTGTACGAGCCGGCGGGATTGCTGCTGGGCGGGAAGAAGAGCTGCGCGCCGGCAATGGTATAAGCAAGGTCGACGTCGACGTTAAGGTTCGCGTCGAGCGAGGCGGTCGCCTCAGCGTTCACGGAGAAGGTGGGGCCGATGCTCAGGATCTTGGGGAAGTCAAGACCCGGGATGCCAGTCTCGAAGAGCGGGATCTTGCCAGAGCTGATTGAACCCTATGTTGTGCGACTGTGTCAGCGAGATTAGAATTCATTTGAGAATAGAGAAACTGACAGTGAGGGTTGCGTCCAGACCGAGGGTGCCAGTTACGGTGGTGTCGAGGCCGACGAAGAGACCGAACTCGTCAAGTTTCGGGGGGATGATGGAACCCGCTGCGGCAACACCGTAGCTGACCGTACCATCGACCTTACCGTTGAGGTCCACCTTTGCCTCGCCACTGAACGCAGGTACAGCGCCATTCTGGGGGCACGAGAACGACTGGTCGAACAGCGGCACGTCCTTCTCGAAGTTTATCGGGCTGCTACCAGTGATGTTTTTGTGGACCTCGGACAGCCCCTTGAGGGTATCTCCGATCCAACTGAACAAGCCGCGCTTTGCGGCCGCAACGCCCGTCGGAGGCGTAACAGTGAAGTTACCGGCAACGCCCGGGATGGACGATCCCTGGAGGAAGAGCGTGACGTTGCCGTTAACGTCCGGATCGACAGCTGCGAAGTCGGTCGCGAGACTGATGCCCTTCACGGTGGGCTGCGAGCCGTCGCGGCGCATGATGAGGGCGCGCTTGCTTGCAGGGATCTTCTGGTCTTGGTGGACCCACATGCGCGTGACGAGCGCGAACGGCACCGAGCCGCAGGACGTCGGGAGACGGACGAGCGTGCCCTCCGCGCCGTTCTGGTTCACGTGGTCGCAACCCGCGTCGGGGTCGTGGCAGACAAGACGGATGTCCTGGTCTGCAACGTTCGGGTCGCAGTCGAGGATGGTCCACCCTGCGGCGGTGGTCAGGTCGGACACACCGGTCTGCGAGCCAAGCTGTGTATTGCGAGTCGCAGTTGCGCGGGTGCGCACGCGTTTCGTGAGCGCGCAGGTAAGCGATGCACGAGGATACGATACTCACCAAGCGAAGTGTGCCAGACCCGTTGCCATCCGTGATGTCCCAGTTACACTCGCCAAAGCAGGGCGTGTTCCAGTCGTTGGCCGCTTGGGCCGCGATGGGGAGGAGTGCAGCTACGAGGAGAGCGCTGTGGACCATGGCGAACTCGAGACTCTTGAAGGGTTACGACGTGAACTTGGGTCGTAATGAAAGGAAAGGCAGCTCTAGAAGGCTATATAAAGGAGAGGGCAGCAGAAGAACGAAGGGGGAATCACCAGGACCCGTAAAGATACGTGGTTGTCAACGAAGGTGTTATATACCACGACGTCCCATGCGGGCGCGTACGGCGTTGCGGCGTTACCGGATGGAGATCAACCAGTGGTTGCAGATGGGATGCGAGCGCTGACAGTGGCAGATCATGTCGGTAACACTTTCCTTGGCAGAACGCAGAGCCCAGGGGGAGTTGGTCAACGAAATGGATGGATTGATCTGCAAGGAGCTGTACGGTCGGCGACCCGAGTCAACCCACCATCAAAGATGGCCCTCAAACAGGCCGACGCCTATGTCTCCGGAGTCCGGATTCAAGTCTGCGTCGGCATGCTGTCGTCCACATGTGCATCGCGGCAGTGTATGACCTACGGCACAGCCGTCACAGGGCCGTTCACAACGTCCCCGTCGAGAAGCACTGAACAGCACTGTGGTCAAGACAATCGGAGTTAGTGTAGACTGTAGTGTCTGAAATTCAAAAGCGTACACATAGATCATTGGAAGGTGGACTTGAGCGATCGAATGTGCGGGTTGACCTTGAAGGCATGACGACGGCAATCATTGTCAACACTGGCGAGACAGCAGTGTGGACGTCGTCAACGCCGATGATGTCTCCGGCGGCCCACAGCTTGCAGGAACGAACCAAAGAACTGAGCCTCGAGCCCAGCTTCAGCTTCACCACTGTGGCGACCACAATCTCGTACATGTTGTCAACCGTCAGACAGCCGCACAGGCTGCGGATGGGCTTGGATGTCGGCCAGTAGGCCTATGTAGGCTCGAACGCGATGTAACGGTCTCCATTCCACGTGACCGTTTACCTGATTCGGATTCTGTTACTCACCGCCCACGTTACTGTTTACAACTTACGCGCCTGTTCTCTTCGTTGCACCAACGCCAGCTTGCTTATCCGTCCGCTCGTTCTGCTTCGTCCTGTAGCTCGCTTGATTCTTCGAATCTTATGCCGCGTCCGACAACCGACCGCTACATTCGAGCGCTTTCTTGACCGAACGGGCGCCACCCTTAGAGTCACTCGACTCCTGAGTATCAATAACTTCGTCGCCCACCACCATCAATACTTCCCGCCCAGGTAGTACGATGCAACCTAGAGAAAAGCTTCGAGGCCTGGAACCACTTCTCTTGGGCGAAGTAGCGATCTTTCATCCTGGCTACGACCGCGCAGTGGTTACTTTTCCTGCACATGATCCCATCGATCCCCCTCCGCACCCTCCGCAACCCCCGCAAACTCCGCATCCCGCATTCCCCGCAACCCACCGGACAACATGATGGCGGAATCGCCCATCGAGTAGTCCTCGACGCCTGCCACATCATCGCTGGCTAGCTAGCGACATCACAGGCGACAAGCCCATTGCAACCGACGTCGCCACTTTGAGCGCCGGAATCTACTATCTCCACCTCCGCGATAAACCTGGGTCGACGAACAAGTACCCGATCGTTGCGGAATTCGCGGCATGGACGCCCCCGAAGTCTGTCCCTGTCCACTGGAATCCAATGGCTAAGGATAGCCGAAGACGACTACAGCTTCGCGCCAGGTATGCAAGGTCAGCGTCTCTGATGTCCAAAGCGGTGAAGGAGCAGGACAAGCATTGTATCATAACCGAGTTCTCCCGCTGTACGTAACCTTCCGATTCTTTTCATATGGACCTGCAAGACCTAATGTCCAGCATCCCCCTATAGCCATTCAGAACGCTCATGTCTTGCCCAGGGATCAGAGCGCCTGGTTCGAACTCCACAGCATGGACTTGTACTGTCACAACCCCCAAGCGCTCATCGACGATACGGCGAATGGACTTGCTCTGCGTAGTGACGTTCTGGAATGCTTCGATCGGTGCAGCTTTGTCTTCTTCCCGCTAGACGACAGCACGTACCTGGCATACATCGTCGGCGGGAGCGAGAGCCATTACGTCGAGCTCCTCCATAGGAGACCGGTGGTGATGCCCGAACGCGTGTCCGAGTTCTTCTTGTATGCTCGTTTTGCCTACAACATCCTTGCTCACGTCAGGCCCTGGTGGACCAAGTATGGAGCGACCATCCCTGTCCAGCGTTTGCAAGTCAAAGGAGCTATGACTGGAGCCAAGGATCATGCGGGCCCACGTGCGTACATCGTGCCTTATGCCGTGCTCTCACCTTCAGCTGCACCTCGGTCAGTGCATCCATCAGAGACGTCCTCCTCGAGCGAGTCGCTCTCGGACGTTCAGACACTGGAGAAAGAGGAGAGGTGGACAGCTCGATGGAAGGCGCGGTTCCCGGACTTGAGTACGTCGCGTGCTTGCAGTGAATCCTTGCCGTCTCCGACATCCACTTGTTTATCGCAGATGAGGAGTCGGTCGACCCTCCTGACACCCGGATTTTCTCTCATCCCGATTCTCTGCGGATCCGAAGGCTGGCGGACGCATACATGGCGAAGAACCCCCAGATCTTTATGTCCTCAAGTGGATCGAGGCTCCATGATGACGGTTCCGCATTGTACGCCGAGGACTAGTGCTGTGAGTCCGCCGTCGTCTGGGACTCTTAGCCAATGGTATCGACAGGAACGCTGTGTGATCATGTATAACTACCTCCGTATATTTGTCTAACCCTTACTTCGCTACATTCTGCCACAACTTGGGGCCTTCCATCATACCTGGAAGAACAGACGAGGTTGGCATCTTGGTAGCGTGGCTTTCACGCTGTTTGCTTGATCGTGGCAGACTCGCGCGCACTGCAACCTTTTTTGAGCCAGCATCCCGACGAGTCCCTGTCGAGATTGGGGTGGGTCTCCGCCCGCTGAGGTCGAGTCTCGCATGCATGATATCGATGGCAGTCAATTCGTGGCAGGCTCTCAGTAGACAGAGCGGCTGAGGCGTAGTATGATAACGCAGATCTAACCGAAGTTCGACTCCGCCGCGTCCGCGTCCGGCTTTGCCCGTCCCCAGCCCAAATCTCGCGCTGCGTCCGCACGGCATTGCCTCTCGTCTCCGCCCAGTGCAACGACGAAGCTGGAGAAGGATACATGCGTAGCAATAGTGGCACTGAAAGTACTGGTCCAAGTTGTAATATGAGTCCCGGCTCGAGGGGAAGAGTCAAATCCACATAACTTTGGTATGAAGTATTCATATCACACTGATGGTGAAACGGTATCATGCTTGCCTTCCATATGGGTTTCGAAATGTTTGAGAAAGCAAGCGGCGTGGGTTCGACTCCCGCTCAGTGTATTACAACTTGTGATAATTCTTTTTCTCCCTGTTTCAGGATTACATACAGTCTTGGCATTCCACATAATACATTCCACATATTTCTTACTGTACAATCGGGACTGGTCCCATACATATGTCCAAGAGTCCAAAAGTCCGGATGAGAGTGCCAGGGTGACGTCACATATGCCCTTAACTGTGCTGGACCCTGTGCCATCGTCGCCTTAGCATCCACCTTTGCGAACGAAAAATCGACAACCACTCACTGGACATACCACCGCTGGTCGGTGGCCACGCACAACCCGCCATGATCGTTGTTGGCCGCAGAACAATCTGACGCAAGCCAGTTCACGAGCTTCGACTGTGTTCGCGGGACTCTATCAGCACAATCTCCTTTCCTTCCACACGGACGGACGTGCACTCACCCATTCAGTGCGGCAGTACGTGAGCGTGTTGAAGTCCTGGTTCAGGAAGTAGGTCAGGCAGGTTAAATACTGCATCGTGACCTTGTTCGTCGGGGTCTGCAGAGGCATCAAGGGTGTCAGTTCAGGATTGAGACGGAGAGGGCGGGGGAAGGGGGGGAGTGCACGTACGCCGTAAGCAGACACGTTGAAGAGCACGCCGGTGTTCTGACTCTCATAGAGGAGAGCATGTTCGATGACAGTGCAGTCGCTAATGGTAGGTGCGCCGGTCGCTGACGACCAGCAGTACGTGTTGCCTGCAGGACGAAGAGGAGGACACCACGTGTCAGCGCACGTCGAGTGAGCAAGGGAGCACATGTTTGTACTTACAGGGAGCGCCGCAGACGTTGCTGCTCTGCCGCTTCGTGAGCGTCGTCACAAGGTTGCCGTGGGCGTCGACGAGCAGCTCGTCGTCGCAGTGCGAGAGCTGGAGCTTGACATTCTTGTCCTTCCCGATGTAGGTCGTAGACACGACCTCCTCGTGGGCGCACTTAGGCTCGTGCTTGACCGGGAGGGTGGCGGCAGAGACGGCCCCGAGGAGGGTCGCCACAACAGTGAGTAGCGAGAAGAAACGCATAGTTCGTAGATCTGAACTCGGGGATAGAGGGGTTGAGAAAGTAGCCTTGAAACGGACTGGCACGTTGGAGCAGCAAATCACGTCCTTTTATACGGTGGGGCGGAGAGTGTCGGCCGCGATCATGTGGTCCGAAGTAGACTGTCGCGGTATGCTTCGAGGTGGAGTCTAGTACGTCGTCTGCTGTTGTCTTCAATTCAGTCGCGGGCGGCGCAAGGCGACTCACAAGACAGACCTGCCATATGGCCCTGCTTGAGTCGGCCAGTAGTGACCGCACTTTAGAACGGGTCTGTTCGGAAGCGGTGCTAGACGGACAAAGTCTGGCCAGAATGCACCCAGTAGGCAATAGCCTTTCGTCCCGGTGGTCTCGACCGCGATGAGGTTACATAAGCAGTCGGTCTTTGGATGTTTTGAGAGGTCTTGGCAGAGTGATCCGAATCATGAGGAGGAAGTGCGGGGAGAGGGGGGCTGGGCTCTGTACTTGATTCGACGAATAATGTTCATGCACGATCCAACATAGGCAGCGATGTATACGGAGACTCTCCTGTAGTCGACGAGGTCAAGATAGTGCCACACGTGTCTCGTCAAGAAGAAACACACTGTTACACACACACCTTCAGTGGGGCCCTACATCATAGCTCGTTGACAGGGCGTCGGAATGCCAGTGGAAAGCCCACCCAGAAGCCCCCAGAGCGGCTTGATGCCAGCGGTGACATCGTTCCCCAAGAATCTTCGCGAATGTAACGGTCGGGCAGCCAGGGGGCTGTCGAATTCAAGTACATGGGCTGGGTCTGACTCACAGTGCGAATCTCGAACATCTGTTCTTGCGACGCGGTGCGTCGACGCGCCTCTTCTTCGGTTCATGCAGCTGTGGAAGAGGATGTACTTATGAGTCCAGATCAAATTCAGGTGCTAACCGAGACTACTGGCCTATGAACGTTGAACGATCGAGCCATACCAAGGTCTCAATGCATGTGCGCTTTACGGCACTTCCTGGGCGCGTACCTTACGCTCACTTCCTGGCTAGGGGCTTGATAGAACGTTGGATTGTGGGGGAGATCATGAGGTAGCAGGTGCTACGAGGGGAGGCCTATGATGTGACCTCTCAACCGATAACTGAAGTTCACGTTGTATCGCTGTCTGTGCCACTGTCAAACTTCAATCCGAGTTTGATCACCGTCGTAGGCGTACGTCGCAAGGACTGATGAATTGATGGATATCAGGATACCGTATACCCATGTACAAGATGATGGTTATCACTTTGACTTCTATCTTACACATACTGTACCAATGTTTCCTAGCAAAGATGTCAGACACGAAGAACTGTCCACTAGTTTCAAGTCATCACGCACCGTGCCCCTCTATTCGATCCATCCCTCAGGCATAGTAACGACTTTCCGGACCGCTGCTCTTCAGGAGACCCTCCTCAAGCGCCTTGATCTCTGCAAGTCCAGCAGTAATCAGCCATCGTACCTCCAACAAGAATCGAAGCACGAGACGAGATCTCACGTAACGCAAGATGTTTCGAGTGGAATCGGCACAACATCAGGTTCCCCATCATGAACCAGAAGTTGGGCACGCCGCTGTCGCGCCACGCCGTGCGTATCTCGCCCTCCGCGTCGACGCTCCACACGGGCTGGAGGCGACTCGTCACCTCCTTTCCGAGGATCTTCTCTGCCGTGATCATCGGGCTGTCGAAGCTGCATTGCGAATGGAAAGTATCAGCTTCACTCCGCCACATAGCAGAGGAGAAGAGGTGCGTTACCCAGTCGCAAAGAGGACGACGTCCGCATCGACGGTGCTCCCGTCCTCGAATTCGAAGCCCGTCTTCGTGAACCGCTTGATCACGCTGTCGTTCTTCAGCTTGACCTTCCCGTCGATGATCATCTGTGACGCCCCGACGTCGAGGTAGTATCCGCCGCCCCTCCGCCTCGCCATCGCGAGGAACCCGCACCCATTCGGGCCGAGGTGCGTTCGGAAACCAACTTTGTGCAGATCATCGAGGAGCTTCCTGCAAGAGCGATGCAATTGTGAGTGGGCAGGAGTATCTGGGCAGGATGGAGAAAACGCACTTGTCAGCCTCTGCGATATCGACAGTGATCCGCTTATGAATCTCTTCAGTCACGAATGTCGGCATCGAGGCGTCGATGCGGTCTGCAAGGTCGGTTGGCCATTGGCCTTCCCACCATAGGTCTGAACGAACGCGTGAGTAGCGAAGTCCAGTGGTCATTAGACGGTCCACATACATCCGAGCATACGAGGCATGCCCTCCTTCGTCGTCATGATGTATGTGCTCTCGCGTTGATACATTGTAACATCTGCAAACGAGCTATCAGTGACAGAACCTTGGCTGTGGTCGTAAGGATACGTACCAACGCCGTTCTCTACGTAGTCAGCCGCGATATCGTGTGCTGAGAGAGGCAGCGATAAGCCGGGTTCAGCCAGGGACGAAAATGGCACTCACCAGACGTCGCAGCCCCTACAATGAGCACCTTCTTCCCCAAGTGGTCCTTCGCCGAGTTGTGCTGAGTCGAATGCAAGATCTGACCTTGGTACTCCTCCTTCCCCGGAATGTTCGGGAAGTACGGGTTGTTACCCCCGAGTCCGATCGCGAAGATGAGATGCTTGACGTGCAACACCCGCGCCGAACCGTCGCCTCGCTCGACGGTGACGTCCCACTCGTTGTTCGCATCCTGTACCGCCTTGACTACAGTCGACTTGGTCCAGACGTCGAGCTCGAGCGCATCGGCGTAGTACTCCAGCCACCCCGCGAGCTTCTGCGCAGGCGTGTAGATAGGCCAAGTGGGTGGGAACCTGACGCGCGTCGACATGAGAAGGAAGAATGGCGTGCACGCGAAGCTCAGGTACTCACGGGAGGTACGGAAGATGGTCGTACCCTGAGAAGACGGACATTCAGAACCCCATCTCGAGCCAGCTGAGTGCGCGCGTACTCACAGACTGGATCGTGCAGGCACAACGCCTGGTACCGATGCCTCCACTGATCGCCAATGCGATCGTTCTTCTCCACCACCAGCGTCGGGACGTCCAGATGCTTCAAGCGTGCCGCGACATCCAGCCCGCTCTGCCCACCGCCGACGACCAGGACAGTCGGGTCCTTATCCAAGAACTCCTTCTCGCGCTCGCGCTGCGCGAGCCACTTGCCATGATTCGGGCGTGGGTTCCTCAGTGGGCCGACCTTCTCCGGGAACTCCTTCAGCTGCTCGAGGTTCGTGTAGAACGTGAAGCCTGTCCACTGCCCGTCCGCAGTCGGGACGATGCGGAAGATGCCGGTGCATGTGCCGATCTCAGTCTCGAAGGTGAACTGACCGAGGATCCACGCGAGATCGGGGTACGGGCTCTGGAACGTCGCGTCCGTGAGCTTGAACGCGCTCAGCTTCTGCGTGGACAGCGTGTCCTCGAGGAACTTGCGGATCTTGGGCGCGCCTTGGAAGGTTCGGAACGTCCAGGTGAGCGCGAGCATGTCGCGGAACCAGGCATCGGGATGGAACAGAGAAAGGATGCCATCGATGTTCTTCGATTCAATGTACTTCACGAGCGAGTCGAACCAGAGAGACGCGACCTTCTTGGCGTCGACATCCTTAGGAGCAGCAGACACTCCGAGGCGGTCAAGAGTGGGCAGGGTCACAGTGGGGGTGTCTACGGTGGCCATGGAGGATGTGTACGGAGCTTGAGGTCTGACCTTGTCTGAGACATTTATCGTCGCAGCGCGCGAGGATAGGAGTGCCGAGCGTCGAAACCTAGGGTCAACTGACGAGTCTCTTGACAGAAAGCGTCACACGGCCCTAATCTCCTCGATCACGTGGTCCGCGATTCCCTGGAGTCGGATCGTCTTCGTCTACTCCAAGGCTTGCGAATACCTGGCCTAGGAACACAACATCCGCGGAGTAGACCTGTGGCGGTTCGCGACATCAGCCAAGCCCTACAAGGAGGATGAAGAAGACAGCGAAATAGGCCCGAACTACTCA